GAGGATGCAGCAGAGCCGAGCAGCAGCACGAGGCAAAGTTTGGGCTGAGGGTGTTGGCGTGATGCCGGGGAGGAAAGAGGAATAAACACAGTGAGCGCAAAAAGTTGGCGAAGCTGCAGAAAACCCAAGCGCGGGCAAATACGTGAATGTAGGAGGGAAAGGGGACCAGCTGGCCTCTGAGCGGTGGTGTCCATGGGTCCCTGATTAGGGCAGCTTTGGAAGGCTGGTAATTGGTTCCAGCAATTACCAGCAGCCCTGAGAACCGCCGCTCAAACTTCGGGAGCCCTGTGACAAATTGAAGCTGACTGCTGGTGGAGGAGTATCGACTTCCCATTTCTAAACAGGGGGATCATTAGTCAAGAAAAGCATCTTTTAATTACTCGCAGGAAGGGGAAAAAAAAAAAGAAAAGGAGGAAAAAAGGAAAAAGATCTTTCAGTATGGATCCTGTAACAACTGCCATTTTTTTTCCAAGTGTATTCAATATTAAATTTGTTGTCTTGGAGGGGAGGGGGTGAGCAGGGAGAGTTTGCCCGCGGTCCCTCCTTCGGTAATGCGGGTTTAATTTGGAGTGAGAAGTCAAATTAGAGTAAATCAATGTTGTGACAATTAACTGGGTCTGGAGATGAGGTCAGGATTTTCCCCTCTAATTGCTATTGATACTATTTAAGCACACTCTTAAAATGTGGATTTGGAGCAGTGCGATGCAGGAGTGGCACATTGGGGTAGGGGCAGAACTGCTCCATGGAGGAATGTTGGAGGGGTGGTGGAGCCAACCTGGGGAGTCCGTGCTGCGTTTCACCTGGGCCTTTGGCTGTGGTATGTAGATCTCCTGCCAGATATTTGTCTTTCTTCTGGACGCACGTCATGTGCTTTGCTTTCTTCATGTATTGTGCATGCCCATGTGGCTTCTGGTTTGCAGGCTTGCTTGCCACCATCAACTTCCTAAGATGATGTTGGCCTTTTCCAAACGAGACGAGATGTCACCATCCCTCTGCCTGCTTCAGGAGGTGATGATCTGCTCCTGGCTCTCAGCCTCTTTCCTCTGAGCTACCGAGGGCTCTGTCTCGGACCTGTTGGGAGTGCTGGCACGTGCCAGCAGCGAGGCCATCTCCACCAGCTGGAATTTGCTGGCCCAAAAGAGGGAGGGCAGCGTGATATCCAGGCGCCATCCCAGCCATGGTTTTTGTTCTGCCGCCCAAGTGATGCTGAATATTTACATTAGCTATGTGCAAATCTTAAAGAACTCCACCACTTCAGCATCT